CTGCAGCTCAGTCAAGTGTCACCCTGACAGCCAAACCCATCTGTTCTCTGACTGGATTGTTAAATTTGTGATTGACATGACATTAACCAATCATAATCACCATAATCATAATCAGCTGAGAGGAAGAAACATCCTGTCGTAATTCTTACCTGCAGGTTCAAACTCACCGTGATGGACTTGCAACCTGTCCAAGGTGTCCCCCGCCTCTTGCACAGTGACAGCTGGATATGGGCACCAGTGACACCCGTGATCCAAAAAGGAAGAAGCAGGTAAAAGATAATGGATGGATGGATGAATGAATGAATGGCTGAATCGATGGATGGATGGATGGAAGTTCAAGCTCACATGCAACTTTTACATGTAGTTTTTTTTTTGCTTTATATCTGTAAACAGACCTTAATAATAAAAAATTGTTGTAACTTGTCTAAGTATTTCTTACAAATACAAACCTTTTTTTTTTTTTTTACACACAAATTCTTATAAATGGATGCACAAAGATATCATTTTCACACATTTTGGTTTACAAGGTGCAAAATGTATCCACAACTACACATTCTGATTAACAAGCACAAAATATGACTGGAACTTGTACCCGTACAAAGTTAGCCTCCACAGCATAAGGCTCAGCGAAATAAATATCCTACAATTTCAAAGTGGCTCTGAGACCATTTTCAAAAGGTACTTACAGATGTTTTCAACAGCTCCTATTTTATACACTGAAAACAAATGTAAAAGCAGTTCTACTATTCTAAATCTTATCAATGTGCTTCATCAAGATAAAAAAAAAACATTTATTGTGATGCAAATCATTGTAATGGTTGGCTACCTGTCCACCACCTCTCCTTTTCTCTCCCGTGCTATCATGTCCAGCAGAGTCTGTCGGAGGTGGTCTCTGATGCAGCCATAGCGAACCACCTGATCCCTAAAGATGATGAGCCCCAGGTTGTAGACGTTCTCTACGTTATTCTGCTGCACATACACCCGATCCTTTGGCACAAAAACACAGATGGAGAGTTAAAGCCACAGTTCAGATTATCTGAAATGGGGTTCTGTGGAAAGGTTCTGAACAATTAATCTGAATGACCTCAGTT